TTTAATGAAGCTAAGCTGGACTCTGGCCTTTGTAGTGCATGTTGTAATGCCAAGCAAATTAATCTCTGTAACCTTAGTATATTGTTTTAAACATATATCAAAGATGAATGCCACAGAGAACATTTATACCAAATCAACCACACACAGAATATTGAATACTTACCTTAATTCCAATTTAAAGGCTTTAATTTTGTATTTGTTTTGTATTTGTATGTATTTTGTATTTCTTTTTAAGGAAAAAATATTTTTTCTTGGTACACAGCCAACAAAACATATGGTTTCCTTAGCTTGGTGGCAGCACACCTGGCAAAATAAATCACAGTGATAGAGGACCAAAATCTACACTGCGGCTTTTCATACATATGAACTTTGAACATCTGATGTAGGTCCCCTGGCCCTGCTTTCATAATATGAGCAAAACACAAAGCCAAATGAATAACTTGATCTTCTATGTCAAAGAACCCCTCTTTAATTTAAGAGGCAAACTATTGCATAATTTAAAAAAAAGCAAGAAGTCAAAGTGGCACGCTGAAGAAATGAGTCACTGACTTGGCAGAGAAAAAAATGCCAATAGGGGCAAGCACAGGAAAAGTACTGAAACACTCAACATGGAAAACAGGTAGTGCAAAGGCTTAACGCTGTGGGTGAGTTAATGCACTTGGAGATCTGGAGTTCAAATCCTAATACAGTATAAACTATGAGTCTCCTGTTTACACTCCTTTCAGTATATAATGTATATTGTATGGGGGAAATCTCTAGGAAAGCCCCTTTACATCTCTGGAATGATACATGGAAATTGTGATCAAATTAGGTGAAACATACACTTGCATTTAAAGCTGTGTACCAAAGACAGCAAGCCACGGAGTCAAATTTAATCATGAGAGAATTGACACCCTCCGTATTCTTGGATTATACAATCATCTATGGAAATTCTTGATCACAGAGTCTAGATCTGAGATAAGGAAGGACTTCCTCTGCGCATACTGAGAGCATTCCAGGGTTCTCCCCACTTCCTCTGTAGCACTGAGCAGATATCAACCACAAATTGGGTAGGCACAACACAAATTGTCAAATTCCTGCAGGTGGGCTCTGGCAGACTTCAAGCCATCAGTTACCTACTGTTTAACTAATACAAAAGTTTGTTCACAAGCAGCGTCTTGCATGAAGAAGGCAGGCTAACTTTACCTAAACTACTATATCCTAACAATGGCAATATAGTCAACACATTGATTAATTTAACTTTACATAAAAGCAAACAAAAATCCCAATGCCCAACTCATAAATAGAAACTGCAAGATAGAAACACTGTTAGGCTGGTTGTATTTAGTCAGTTGGCTCTAGCACTCCAAGTTATCCACCCATAATGACTGAGTAGTGGTAATCTTTTAGAAGAAAGATAAATGCTAAATTTAGGGAAAGTTATATTTACTGTCTATCTCTTTGCCAGCCTGGCATTGTTTGCAATCTTGTTAGCAGGCATAGATACTTCAGAAAAGTTCTAAGTGAGCTCTGTTAACTTTGAGGCAGGTGACTTTTTATTTCCTCATCCCCCATCACTCCCACACATATGGGGGAGATAGGGTAACAGCTGAACAGAGAAACAATTAGGAGTCTGCTGGCCCTTTGCTTTAACACTAACAAGGAACATTAGGGGATAAGCTTTCATGAATCAACTCATGAAAGCTTATGCCCTAATATAGTTGTTAATCTTTAAAGTGACATCAGACTTTGTTTTTACTGAAGTAGACTAAACACAACTACCTCCCTGAAACCTGCTTAAAGGAGAGAGGATCAAGAACATGAGTGAAATAGAAGATGAAAGAATCCTAGGAGCAGTCAGGTAGGGGATCAGGACAAGGTGGCCTTTATATTAACTTTTTGTTTCATTTGCTAATAAATCCAAATCTCAGGAGGAGAGTGAGTCTGGACTATGTGGAATGAGGACCGTGTTTATATAAAAAAAAAGGGAAAGGTATCGTCAGCCCTTACATATAGAAAGGTGGTAGGTAAAGTACTCTGTCAAAAATCTATCTTCTCCAGAGTTTGGGATTACAGGCAGTCCCCGGGTTACGTACAAGATAGGGACTGTAGGTTTGTTCTTAAGTTGAATCTGTATGTAAGTCGGAACTGGCGTCCAGATTCAGCCGCTGCTAAAACTGATCAGTTTCAACCACGGCTGAATCTGGATGCCAGTTCTGACTTACATACAGATTCAACTTAAGAAACCCAGGCGTCCCCAAGTCAGCTGCTGCTGAAACTGATCAG